CAAATGGAAGTCACTTGGAGCAAGACTCATAGCCTGTGACAATTGAGGTTAGCATATCGTGTCCTTCATCATGGCAGCGATTGAGAGGCTGTAATGCCAGACCCATTCTTTGCATTTTGTATTGTGGGGTCAGCATGTGCGGCACCCATCCTGCACAGACTTTGTGAAAACCTAACCTGTCATGTGACTTCCATTTGTTCGGCCTTCTTAAACATCATCTTCCGGCTATATGGAACCATGGACATTTAAAGGATAGCTACAATTTACTTCCCTATAGAGGACCATTTAAAAATAGCATCAAATTGTTTCACAGTCTCACTTGAAGCACGTCCTTCTATAAAACTTTCTGAAAGTTATTGATTACATGTTTCGAACTATAAGGTCATCATCAGGTGTTTTAAAATTATAAATGAAGAAACTGCTCTGCTTCCATATTGTGGTTGTTGGTCGTTACTGCGTGGTCCCTTCTATGCGCATGTACTCATATATACGAAGTGGTGGGTTGCTCTGCCTGCTGTGTTACACAGCATAACACAACAGGCAGAACAACCCGCCACTTTGTATATACATGTGTAGAGAAGGGACCACACAGTAAGTACCAGCAACCACAATATGGAAGCACAGTAGTTTCTTCATTTATAATTTATAAATTTAAAACACCTAATGATGATCCTATAGTTCAAAATATGTAGTGAATAATTTTAGTAAGTTATATAGAAGGACGTCCTGCATGTGAGACTGTGAAACCATCTGCTACTAAATGAAGTGGAGCAGGGTGCTACAATATAGTACTACTTGTAGCTACAAATAACAGCTCATGACCAGGTCTGGACCAATACTCACTCTGTCCTGTTCATTCTTCTTCATTCGTTTCTCTACTTCATTTCTGCCAGGTCCCATCTGTCTTTCCCCTAGCCAAGTTGTGGCAGTCATACTTCCGTACACTTACATTACAGAATTCTACTTCAGTACAATGCCTGAACTGTCCACTTTGGCTTGTCAGAGTATTACGGAATTAGCTGCCAAGAAATTTGTAACTGTACCAATTAGAAAAATGCCTTAAAATCTCCCCACCAACCCCCAAAGCTGCAGCAGCTCCTATGGAATTTACACTTAACAATTACCTCTGCAATCAGGCCGCAACTTACGTTTCTTACACAAATATTGTAAGTAAGATGGGTCTCATTTGTCTTGTTGGCAGTATGAGATGCTGCAAAATTTCAAGTGGGAAGTCCTCGCACATCCTCCGTATAGCCCCGACTTTGCTCCAAGTGACTTCCATTTGTTCGGCCCTCTTAAACATCATCTTTCAGCTTAAGTCACAGCCTGGTTCTGATGGCAGCCCAAAGAAATTTTTGCTGCTGTTTTTCAAGGGCTTGTGAAACAATGGGACAAGTGCCTCAATATACAGGGAGATTATGTTGAGAAATGAAAGTATTTTTCAAATTAGTACCCTTATTTGTTTAAGTTCTTGTCTTTTATAATTGTAGTTCTATATCCATTTGTAACTTACTTATTGGCTTACCCTCGTACATCACAACCAGTTATCATCTCTGCCAACTGAACATTAATTTAGCTCAGCATGCTTCTTACCAGTACATAATGCTTCAAATGTAGGAAGGCAGAGATGACACAATTAGAACTACTGTCAAGTGCAATTCTCTACCATTTCAAGCAAGCAGCAAGCGCACACAAGCTTCCCTGGGGCAGGTTTCCCCTGCCAATCCTCATTCCATCAAATTCTCCATAAGCATGATCACCGGTACAGGTACAAATGACATATGGAAGCCGACATGCCGAGGGGACCTAATATGGATTCCACTGCACACTATACGAACTCAGCCAATGTACAGTAACTGACTTGTCC